TTTCTCCAGATCATTGCAAACTCTGTCCCGTTGGTCCCGTCATCTAACGTATTCACATCCCCTTCCAGTTTCTTCTCATCTGTAAATGTAATAAGCACAGGCTATAATCTACCATCCTCAGCATTCAGGCATTAATAAGCACATTAAAAAATGCAGCCCATATGAAAGTCCCCTTGATAGAGTTTTCCAGTTTGACAGCTTTTCTGTGGAAATGAGCATCCAACCAGTAACTGCAGGGAGAGCACACTTCCATTAATGAAAATGTCACCTGAGATTGTGTCAAGAAGCTTTACTGAAGTCTGAAATGTGTGGCATCTAATGTTAATACCTTACCCATAAGATCTGAATCCCTGCTCTAAAAGGAGACTGGATTGATTCGACATGATTAGTTGTCAACCTGTTAAGAACTGTAAGACAAAAGTAACTCCAAATGTGTCAGAGTTCTGGTAATACATCATTCCTTTCTGTTCCATAGTTCCAAATCAGCTTCCTGATTGAAGAAGGCAGGGAGAGGGCCTAATGTAGGTTTTGAATGTTTGGGATTGTTAAAGCTATGTAAATATCTGGGGAGCAGTATGTGGATTCAGCAGAAGGTTTTAGCTAATGGTCTGTACTATACAATGTCTGTAACCACAAAGAAGAATCTAAGTAGGCGATTGTTTAAACTAATCCAGAGAGTTAAATACTTTTGAATCAAATTGAGCTAGGTTATATCTTTCTTCTGCATGGGTATGAAGTGAGAGAGTTCATGTGTGCAAGGGGAAGCCGGATCATAAGCTCTGCTTAGAGCAGTTCAAGGCTGCTAACGAAAGTATAGTAGCTGAAAGCCTGTGGGTGGCTTAATGAAGGCAACAGCACTACAAAGTCAGGAGATGCTGAAAGCATGGAAGAGAGTGGCAAAGTCACCCTCTGTGAGGGAAAAGGACGGCTTCCAAGCTACCCGGGAAATGTTCTTTTTCTGCTTTGTTGTAAATACACAAAAGTAATATATTGTCGTTTACTTGTGGTTCCTTCCAGTAAGAAAACCTCACTGTGTGAAGCCATCGTGTGGTTTCAGCAGTCCTCTGGCAAAAGGCACACTATGTACAGCTGAGAGTATATTAGCTAAATTATATATACAGCATCAAACTGCAAAGAAGACAATATCAAGAATCAGTTGTAAAGTTTTAGGAAAAGTCAGGAAGGTTTAAGACAACTCAATCTGCTGAGTGTTGGTGCGTTAAAGAAAAACCTTAACTGGAGAGGAATAGATAAAATAGATTATATGTTCAGCAGCTGTGAATTAAAATGTAAATATGATGTGGAGGGAATAATTCATTTTCAGGTGGTTGTTATGAACTTGCATCTATCTGTAAATCAACGCTATGAAAGCAGCTTTTAAATTATTGGCTTCTCATTGCAGCCACGGACTTATTTCTTAGCATACAGAGCATTGCTTTGCTGCTGCTTTGACTTTTACCCTTTAGTCAGTCACCTTCCAGTCTGCTTCCTCTCAGTCATTTTTAATAGAATGCCTTTTTGATTACAGAAAATTGGTTGATCCACTGCTCTAATGAAAATGCTAGACAAATGCTCCTTCTTGGAACTGACATCAGGAATGTTATACAAGACATTCTTAAATATGCTGGCAGCTGCCCTGAATGTAATGAAATCATGGAAATTAGAAGTATTGCGCTCTCTGTGTGGCCAGCTCAGGACTGTTTTCAGTATGTTACCAGTTTTGCTGTGAATTTCAAAAGGAATCACTTTTCCTGATTTTTTTTCTTGGGACATTCTTCAGCATTATGCTGATATTCTGAGGTACTGTTCTTTTTCTTTTTTTTGGATTGCACATAAGTCCTCATGCCTACATCCCCTTCTACCACACTAAATCATTCCTCTTGCAGCAGAGAGTTTACAGTCTTCAAAAGACCGATAACTTTTCTGGTAGAAATGCATGTGTAGGGTGAAATCCTATTCCCACTGCAGCCAGCAGTAAAATTCCCACAAACTTAAGTGGCTTGGATTTCACATGCGGTTTTTAGTCTTCTCTTGTATGACACTCTAGTTAATCCTTAAGACATTCTTAGTATAGGAGGTAGCTAAATGCATGAAAGGTAGAAGAGTAGCAATGATGCATATTTTAGAAGGGAAGGACCTTGTCTCTGTGGCAATGTGTGTGTATATAAATGAAAGAACCATCCTGGCTTCCATGTTACCTTCTCTTCATCCATGTTTTTATTCACCTATTGCTTCTCTGTAACTTTGGTGTATTTTCATCAGATATTCTGAATTTGAGTTTTCCAAGATGAATCTAATTTTCTTTACCTTGTTTTTAGTATTCTAGATTCTTCCATAGTTTCTTTGCTGGAGGCTTACAAAAGTTCCTAAAGTAACTGCAGTTGTGTTCGTTTGAAGTAATAATATTCCGTTCCTGTCAACAATTAATAGCAGTATTAAGCAAGAGTCAACTGAAAGAAAACTTAGCACAAATTCATATGCTGTCACTTAACACTTGCTATTGGAACTAGCAAATTCTGGCTCAAGGATGAGGAGCACTGAAAGGGGACTTTGGCTGCTGGGAAAGAAGGCACAGAGACCTGTTTCCAGCTGCTTCGTTCTCCTTTTCTGTTCAGTGTGAACATTCTGTCCAAGAGCGGTCAGAGAGATGCGAGGGTTTTCTTACATATCCTGGTTTGGGTTTATTCACTGCAACAGACTTGCAAAAGCCATTCTAGAATGTGGAGTGGCAGGGCTGAGGGGCGGCTTGCACCGAAGCTAGAGTCACCATGATGCTCAGTGAGAAAACCAGCTGTTCTGAAAGAATGACATGGAGATGGACTAGGGCGTCTACATCACTTCTGTCGTCTTCTGATGCCCAGCTTTACCAGGCAACCTCGCTCTCAGATGCTGCTGTTGGCACAATGCGGAGATGTCTTACAAAAGAAAGCCTGGTAATGCTTGTAGGTGTACTGTATAGCACAGAGATCTGTTAGAAGCAGATTTCCACGTGCCTGATGCGATGCAAACAAGATGGTTTCTGGCATGAAAAGCCTTCAGTTGAGACATCAAATCATTAAGAATGCTATGGCCAGAAGCTTTCATAATAAATTACTGTAAACTCATGAAAGATTGATCTTTTTTTATTTCAGAGAAAATAACTCAATAGTATGAAGTTAGGTCTGTTCCAGTTTCAAATAGGAGACGGACTCCTGAAGTATTATCCACTTTCTGTAAATATCACCTATGAGCCTGTATATAAAAGGTTAAATGTTTGCAGGCTATTACCCTTTGCCTTAAAGATCAGAGACAAATTACTATTTCTACTTTACATTCTCTTGATGAGGATAATGATAAACATCTGTCACTTTGCTGCTTAGCCAGCTAGGAATCTTATTGAAATCTGTAATTTAAACAGTGAAGAAAAAAAGAAAAGAAAAAACCCCCATGCATATACCATACTTTATATACGCAGTGAAGAAGAAAGGAAAGAGAAGTCAAATGCAGGGGAACTAAGAAGAGGGCATTTTTGGACTGCAGTTACTTGGCTAAAATCTGTGGATATATGATAGATACGTGATTTCCCATTTATTTGGTATTTCACAGGCAAAATTACAGTTAGTTTCTTTTCAGACATGGAGGCTAAGGAAAATACTCAATCTGCCTGCTGTGACTTTTTGGCATATGCAGTTTATTAACAAAATGATTAAGGTTTATAGTGTAGTGTGTCTACTGGTGTTACAGAATTGAAACCACTATTTTACATCAAGAGCTCTTTCAGTGTCCTCCACAGTCCCAAGATTTTTAGGAAGCACTGCTAATTATTTTTAAAGTCTGTAGATTAGCTGTTTTTCCAGTAATTTCTCTGTAATTAAAAACAATCTGAACTTTTGAAACTTCTTTTACAAACACCAGCAATGTGCAAATTTTAGCTAAACGCTGTATTGTAAATGGAGCTGTGCTGGCAGGGGTCTGGCTGGTATATAACTAGTTCTAGTTATTGGGTTATTCACTTTTTGCAAGTACTTTGTGTTTCTTCATGTTATGCTTCTAGGTACCAACAGAACAGGTTTAGATTTTATAGTTCATGCTTATATGGTGGTCGTTTTCAGGGAGAAGTATTATATGTCAGAGTTTGGGGAAAGAACATTGTTCTTTGTACTTTCCAGGTTGAAATTTCATTCTTTTGGCATCTCTGAGCCTTAGAAAGCAGTTTGATTATCACCAAAAGGCTAATATTTTTTTTTAATTTTTTTTTTAGGTTTTCTTATATTTATACAGCCCAGACTGAAGCAAAGTACATACCTTTTAGTTTCCAGTTAAAGTTCCTGGTATTTTCTTTAATTATGTCAGCTGTTTACATACAAAGAAGTTTTTTTCTGTCCAATGAAAAAGAGACCTCTAATCCAGCCTATGTTATGCTGAGCCTTGAGCACTGGAACCAATGATGCTTTTGCTGTTATCCTTCATAAATCCTTTGTTTATATAGGTGCTATTTACATCTAACAGGTTTGAGGCTGAACTGCGGAATTTGTTACAACTGAGTCATCCTTAAATAACAAGGGTGTTTTTTACCCATAGGAGTGTAAAATTCAAAATCCAGACTTACGGTGCTGCTTTCTTGCATGGGTCAAGCTGGCTGAATCTGAATGGTAAAATATTTGATAATAAGTATTGCAGTAAGTGATCTGCGATAACTTCTTGGGGTTTCATTTACCACCACGCATCTTTGTCTGAAAACTTTCTTTAATATAAAATTACAAATTGGTGTGGAAACACATAAAGTACTTTGAAAAAGGTCTTGCATCTCATATTGCCTTAAACTTTAAAGGCCAGATTTCATGATTCTAAACATTAATGTTAAACAGGCCAATACTTCATATTTTAACCTCCAGATTTTCTTTGTGTGAGTTACATTGCTGCATTACTACAGTTTAAGTCCAGGTATTTTCCCCAATATATTTCCAGTTTACTGCAGTCTGAAAGACTTGACTTTTTGTTTTTTTTTTTCTTCTGTGTAGACTGAAAATGACGAGAATGGCCAAGCAGACAATTTTTCAATGGACCCCCAGCTGGAGAGACAGGTGGAGACAATTCGAAATCTTGTGGACTCCTACATGTCTATTATCAACAAATGTATCCGAGATTTGATACCGAAAACAATCATGCATCTTATGATCAATAATGTAAGTAGCAGGCAGAGTTCTAAATTATTTTAACACGTCTGTCAAATCTCTTACGCTCAAACACACCTCTTGAATATAGCAGGAACAACAGCACATGCTAAAAAGAAGAACATGCTCCCATAAATGTCACACTTAAACAAAATATTCCAATCTTTTCTAGCAAGAGGAAGTTCTGCAGCCTTCTCAAAGGCTGGCACACTGCCTTGAGTGCTTACTCCAAAATGCTAAAGGTTGAATTCATTTACATCTTAATAATATAACATATAAGAATATAGGTTATTGTTTAAAGGTAAATATAGGATTTTTTTCTGTGTCTTGCTTTTGATACAACAGGAAAAGGGAGTTGGGAGCTCCATCTAGGCAGTCTGTGAGAGCAGCAGAGCAGAGTTGTGCTTCCTTGATTTTCAATCTGTAGCCCTTCGTCATGGTTTCTTAAAGCAGTTCTTCATTTATTTGGGTTTCTTTATATTTTCAGGTTACCGTTTTCAAGGAATAAATCTAGAAGCCTTGGACACTGTTGTTTAGATAAGCAGATGTGGTTGGTTGATTTATTGTGTGTGTCTTTCTTAGATCTGAAGATTATTTGGATAAATAAATGGTTTTGAGATATCATTGTTTTTCCACTGTGCTAGGATCTCAGCCTTTGTTTCCTGGCAGAGTTCTGAATGGACCTTGTTGAAATCTAAGCTTAATAATAGTGCCACTGCTGCCATATAAATTAATAATGGAGAGCACAGCTCCTGTTAGTTATGGGTAGCACCTTTTCTGTGAGGCCATCAAACCAATCAATCTTCACAAATACAATATGCAATATGACAAATCTGGTTAGAAAGTAGCATTTGCTTTTGACTCGGAGCCACCTCTGGCCTTCGTCTGATGGATTTCATTAGCCCTGTGGAGTTAGGTGGTTGGACAGGAAATTTCAATGGGATTTCCTGGTACATATAATACGGGCAGAATTTTTGCATGAGGGTGAGAGATATTCCGTTAACTTTTTTAGGTTTAGGGGAGTCAGGCTCCAAATAATGCTCTAGTCATGGGGGATTTTTTTACAAAAGAGCATGGGAAAGGGAACAATGGAACTGCCCTTTTTTTCCTGAAATCAGCCATGCTCTAGACTTTATAGGGTAAGTGTGTTCTCTCTACTCTTTCCACATCACAGCTAGCAACTTGCCGATTTGACTTAGCACAACTTCAGTGCCTTTCCAACGGGCTGGTTTTAGCTCTCATTTCATACACTGCAGAGTTTGGTGAGCAGTTCCTTTTGAAAGTTTACATTAAATTTTCTGCCACTCACCTCCTCATATGGAATAGTTTAAGGGTCTCTGTAGCGGGTGCTTTACTCGGAAGTAGAATTCTTAAAGATTTCATACTTTGAATCTCATCAGCTGTTACATTGGTAAAGTCTGCCATGCTGGCTGACCATGGCACACAAAACCAACATACAACATCATCTACATTTCAGTTGACCTCATAGTCCGTAGCTGTGTTTGAGCTTGCTAGTGAGCTAAAACCTACACCTCAATCCTAGAATTCAAATTTGTGGCAAAGGATGAAAACATTTTAAAGGACTGTGAAGAGTGAGACCAGAAACATTAATGCACTTGTTTCTGTGCGGCACAGGCAGTAAAATACCACATTAAAAACAATGCCTAAAATATCAATTTAAAAAAAGCAGCGCTATTAAAAAGAGAAAGAAATGCTTGAATTAAGGCTGCTGACCAAAAGGTTGTGCAAAGACCTGGAAAGCAGTGGAGCTCTGATGGAAGGTGGGTCCTGTTAAGTAGTGTGTGTGTTCCTTGGACCCATCCACCCAGGAGTTAAGTAAAAACACCCTCCCTCCCCCTTAATGAGCATATTCTGTACTTTCTGCTGCCCCATCATGTTGTCTCCAAACTCTGGAAACAAATTGATCCCAAGGAGTTTGTTTCCATGACAATTGTAACCTCCCAAGTCCTCCTAGAACTTCCTTTCCACTTTGTGGGCCTGTAAATGAGCACTTGTAATTGAAGGGAAGTATCAGATTCAAACTCAGTGTACAGAAAATGATTAGATGCTGTCCCTAAGCATATTTTGAGTCCTAAGCCTAGATTGTTGTATTCCAAATGCATCCCTTATTCTTCCCTGAGGGTGGATGTTGATTACCTTAGAAGAAAATGTATTTACCACACAGAACTGCATTGAGTTACCATTAGCAATGCAAACATGCACAAACGAAACACACATTTCAGAATTTGTGTTTCATAGTGCCTAGGTATCACAGATTATACAAGAGGGGTGGTCTTACAGCAGACAGTTTGTAGTCCATAAGCAGTGCTGATATTAATCTCAGCTGAGTAGCGAAACTCCAAGGTATTGTTACTGCCAAATTTAAGGTTAAGGAATGGATTGTGTTTGCGTTTGAGGCAGTGATGTGTGTTGTAGTCTGCCTGCTGATGAAATGAAGTTGCAAGCCCATCTTACTGCCCTTCGGAGTGACAGGACAGTCTTCGTGGCATTGGTGTTTCGGATGCTTGCTATGGTTCAGCTTTGAATGCAGGTCTGATATCTGTGGAAGAAAATGTTTTAAACCATTCCTGTGAGTCTTTCTGTTTTCTAGAAAGGAGAAAAGGCATGAGTAGGTGTCATTTTCCCTTCCTTTTCCAAGCTGGAGAAAGTGGCTATTGCAGAAGATCTTCCTCTGTGTAGTACAGTGCATCTGTCTGCAGAAGGAAAGAGGTTGATCCAAGAACCGTCCTTAACGCAGCACTCTTCCCCTTCCAGAAGAGTTCAGGGAGGTACTTGAGTCTCCTGCTAGTGGCAGGCAGGGATCTCTCATGATAATTGTCACAGGCTGATTTTTTTCGAACAGATATTTGTGGTTTAACAATGCTTTTACAATCAGCTCTGGCCTTAATCTAATTTTAGGACTACTTCTTTTTTTGAAGTGATGCCATTAAAATGCTCATTTAATCGAGTAGAATGTGATGCTGTTTAACTATGATATCTGGTTTTAATGTGGAGTTTTTGGCAATCATGAGGAAAGTAGTGTACTCTGGCTCTTGATCAGTACCATCTACTGGAAAACAGCATGAGACTCATGGAAAATTTTTGCAGGCTTTGCTAAGAATTTGTGCATCTCCTGTCATACGTGAATGGGAAATGACAATCAAGCCCAGCAATATGGTTTTGTTTCCCTGTAAGGTCTTTCCTGGCCTTTTTTTCATCGCTAAGTGGCTATAAGGGGTCCCATGCTCATGCAGTTCGACTGCTCTCACTGACCTCGTCTGAACACAAACTTTACCTTAGTCTAGCTGTCAGGATTTAAATCAATGTCGTTAAACCAGCACAAACCCATGTGCAAACAGAGCTGAGGTTTATGTAATCAGAATCTTGGGAATGTATTATTGTTAGTATCTCCAGCTCAAAAAAGCTTTATAGAGCAAAACGCCAGATGAGAAATAGATCAGAACAGCAACGAAAGTTTCAAATGCAAGGATTTAGTAGGTCAGCAGTTGGTCTATTTACCCCAGTCTTATTTAATCAGAGTACCTCTAGCTCTTTATCTCTCCTAATGTGGCCCAGGTTTCCATAACCAGGGCAAGCGTAGCAGGAAATCAATATAGTAAATTAGATTACTTGAAGACTTCTCCCTTCAGTTTGAATGTGTGTGGATGGGATATTTAGAGTCCGTCAAAGTTGTTGGAGATTAAAGATACTGTCTACAGTAGAGTAAATTGTTGCTAAGAAAATAATTGACAGAGATGCTAAAAAGCCTGAAAATTCCCATTCCCAGGGGAATTTAGTATCTGATGGTATTGCTAATGGCTGCCATTTAACTCTCAGCCCTTTAGAATTGGACCAAAATGCCAGCTGACTCCTGGGAGCTTTTGGGAAGCCTGTTTCAAATGAACTGTATAAACCCGGATGTCACCTTAGAGACACAGACCACTGTTAGCTCCAACCATGTCCAGCGTTTCAAAGACAGACACAAAAAAAGGCCGCAGCGCATTGTGGAGTGACTGCACAAATCTGTCTTACCCTTGTTGTCACAGAATGTGCCTTGGTAATGGCGTTAAGCCCATCTGCAAGCAGGCAGCTGCTAAAAGGTCCAGTCCATCCTTTTCCAGCTGCTCTGCCCAGCTGCATGTGCCAGCCTTTTCTTGGGCCACAGCTAGACCTCAGGCTGCTGCACTATCAACTCAGTCGAGAGTTCAGCGTTTTTTAGTCCCTGATCTGACCTAACAAAAACCAGTAGAGTTGATGTAAATAAGGTAGTAGGAGAAACAGATTATATTTACATCTGTCTGTCTCCTGGTTCTGTGGATCTCACATTGTATTTGTTCAGTATTGTATTTTCAGTAGGGGATTTTTTTTTTTTTTTTTTGTTTATTTGTTTGGTGGGGTTTTTCTTTGATGAAATAGGTAAAGGAATTTATCAACGCAGAGCTCCTGGCTCACTTGTATTCTTCTGAGGACCAAAACACTCTAATGGAAGAGTCGGCTGAACAGGCGCAGAGGCGAGATGAAATGCTCCGCATGTACCAAGCCCTAAAGGAAGCCCTAGCAATCATTGGTGATATCAGCACTAGCACTGTCTCAACCCCTGCACCCCCTCCTGTAGATGACTCTTGGCTTCAGCAGGCCCGCAGGTAAGGATCCTCAAATCTGGATTGCAATTTAAATTTAGGACAGGCAGACATTGTCAGCATCAGCAGCTCCCTCCCTAGCTGTCTTTTTGGGCAGATACTCCTCCAGGTGTTTAATGATATTTGCGAGGGAAATAAGAACATTTTGCCACATATATATGTTCTGTGGGTATATATGTGAATACCAGACAGGATATTTGCCTTGTAGAAGATCATTCAGTGGATTTATAGCTTGTCTGGTGCTTCAGATAGCAGCCACTTCTGTCAGCCCAGCTGTGTATCCACATGACCTCTTCTTGCAAACTGTTACAAGACTTCAGCACGTCAGGCTCCACGTCACAGAAAATCTGTTTAGCAGAACATCATTAGAACTCTTAATATTAAAATCCATTAGATTTACCTCTTTGATCATATGTTTATTTCTGACTGTCATAAGGCATTCTGTCTGTGAGGAAGGTAAGTGTGAGACTTAAATACATGTGATGCTTTGACACTGACAGCAAAGAAAAACTACAAGAAAAAAAATTGTCATAGGCATAAAAAAGGGTTTAATTTCTATTTAAAAAATAAAAATTAAAAAATAATAAAATAAAACCAACCCCCCGCCTTACTTAACTTCTTAAATCTCTGATCTTTCACTAGATCACCTCCTCCAAGTCCCTCAACTCAGAGGAGGCCTACATTAAACAACCCCCCTACCAGACCTTTATCTGGCCGAGGACCTGCTCCTGCAATCCCATCTCCAGGCCCTCAGTCGGGGGCTCCCCCGGTCCCCTTCCGCCCAGGACCACTGCCTCCTTTTCCAAGTGGTGGTGAAGCCCTTGGAGGACCTCCCCAGGTTCCCTCACGGCCGACCCGGGCTCCTCCCAGCGTCCCAAGGTAAGATGTCTAGTCTTCCTGTTGGTGGGCATGGTTCTCTCCCTCTAGCATAACAGACAGATACTGCGCTGTGTCAGAAAGTTGAACACTGTTGTTTAATAAGTCTTGTAACAAAGCAAAATTGGCCATTCCCTGCAGAGAGTCAAAGGTGTTTTGAGGAACCAATTTTTAGCACAAATGTGACTTTTTGAAAAGATAGAAAGTTTTACATGAAAAAAAATAATCCATTCAGTCAATTTGAAGATGCCAGATTTTCTTACATTTAGAACCCCTGTTCTGGTTGTGTGGTACCCATATAGGGGTTCACAGAGAGAGATGTCATCTACCCCTTACCAGAAGAGGGGCAGGGATACAAGTCCTCAGTTCTGCCATTCTGAGTCCTCACCAGAGGAATTAATGGCTCTTCTGGGAGAGAACAAGAACAATCCTCATAGAACCAGTGGAAAAAACTCGATAGGAGTCTGATTCTTGTTCTACAAGGCAAGTAATTTACAGCCAGTTGAAAATAGTCCATAGTTGTCTAACAGTGTACATCATATGGTACAAAACAATTAGTTAAGAAACAGGATTTTCATCACCACATTGTTACCTTTCCTTCCCAGGGCTTTGCATTTATCAGTACTTTTTAAAGTAACTTTGCATATTTTATAATTTTGTGTGGCATTAACTGCTTTTTTATATAAGTTACATGAATAAAATGTCCTTAATATTTATTTTCACAATGACATAATACACATAAACACTCATACATACATACACACGCATATATGGAAGCCTCTGATTCCAAGGGCTTTGGTAACTTCCTAAGTTATGAGAGGCTTGGGCAGATTAGGCAATGCTGGAACAAAGGCGTTTCTCCATTTTTAATAAATTAACTGTTACATTAAAATTAGTCACAGTTTGCAAAAAAATGCCAGTTAAATAGAAACAAAAAGAAAATGCACACATTTACAATTTTAGAAATGGTAATTGAGAAGAGAACCTTTGGAGAAAAACTTTCTTTTAAATAGGTGAGATCTGTTGTAGTTGTCAGTAACTTAAATTTGAGGCTTAGTGTTTCTAATATAATTACCCTTTATAATATGAAGAAGAAATAAATGAGGTATATCAAAGGAATGAAGTATATTTGCTATGAAAAGGGCGTTGTTGCATCAGTGCGCAACCATGAAATGCACTCATTTATCTTAGTGGATATCCTGCAGCTTGCAGTAGAACCGCTGGGGAGAAACCTAGAATTGCCTTTCTGGGTACTTAAACTTCACTCTGAAAGGGAAAAAGTTCAAGCAGGGTCCTCTCGTTGGGAGAGCCTGGGACTGAGCTGAAGGGCACTGGCCCCAGTGTTTCCCCTGTGCCATCAGAGGATAAATCAAATACTAGATACAGAAATGAGGTCCAGTGTTTTGTCAGTTGTACTACAGGAGAGAACCACAGCTCCCTGGTGTCTCTCACCTTGACTTGCAAATGAGCATGTCTCCTTTGTCCTGCCTGGCTGTGATTTTGCATGAACATTGCTTTCCTAAGGTGGCTTGCCAAGAGCATGTCTGATGATAATCTTTTTGATGTTAAAGTGATAGGTGGGAGGGAGAGCAGAAAGGAATTTTCTAGCGCACAAAAGACACTTGGGTAAGCAGGCCACGAACAACTTAATTCGCGACTGCCACTGGTGGCATGTGAAGCAGTGGCTGATAAAGGTCAGTGTTTTTAAAATGCTGTAGCTGGATATATAACTGAACGTACGACTGCCTGACATTTTTGTGGAAAAAATATCTGCAATACACATCTTCTGGACTGGATCCTAGTTCTCTTTTTTAGAGCTATGAAAGCCTCAGACAAAAAAAAATCTCAGCTGCTTAAGAATGAAGGAAGGGTTTGCCGTTTTGCTGAAACTTCAGGTTTCTCCTGCTGACTAAACTCCGAGAGAGGAAATCCCAGGGAAGGGGCTGCAGGGGAAATCACCTGAGGGGGACAGTGTGGCCGGCTCCTGCACCTATTAAAAGTTTCTTTTGAGCCCTGGAATTTCTGCTACGCTTGGTCTGGTTTTAATAACAGCCTTTGCAGGATCATAGGAAATTGACTCAGAAAATGGGTCTGAGATATGAAAAGGGAAAAAAAAAACAGTTTTGAGGAAGAGTTCTTGTGGAAACTTGAGCTTTCTCTGTGACTTATTTTAGAACTGGGGCTCTGTGCTCTGACTGCTTTACCACCACTTTCTGCAATCATTTCTTGAAGTGTCGGGATCTCTCCTATCTGGGGAAACAGTTTAGCTTCCTGAGAAGAAAGGTGTATTTTTCAAGTTCATCTAGCTTTCCAAAGAAGCTTTTTGTTGCAGCCCCCGACATTGTCACGCAGAGCTGAAAATCCTGACACACTGAAGAAATAGAAGCTTTCTATTTTCTCCTGTTCTGCCTTAAGATAAAAAGATCCTTTTCAGGGGTAAGACTTGGACTGTCCTTTTCCAACAACCAGCTGAGCACACTCTTGGTTTGGAGAATTGGCCACCTTATAGTGAGATACAAGCCCTGCCTTTAAAAAAAAAAATCCCTTTTTTCCTCAGCTTTATTAGCATTTAATCAAAGAAATTGTACAGAAATTGTGGGCTCTTGGCATTTTCTCACTGTTCCTCGCTTATTTATAGGGAAAGGAAAAGGGTTAGGGGAGCAGGAAATAATTTTCTTCCTTGCTTCGCTCTGATTCTAAAGCTGTTTTGGGTTATGTGCTCTGAATATTTCTGTAAGGAAACAGAAACTATTTGCATGATACATGCCTCTTTTAATTAATCCCACTTGAGGTGGGTGGATCTCTCCCAGCAAAGCCTGTGAGTAAAGGCCCCTGGCTTTAAAGGGCTTGATGCCAAAGCATATATGATTTGTGAAATATTCCCCGCTGCCAGAATTTAGATTGTTCCCTCTCTCTCTTAAAAGACTGCAGTAGTATTTTGAAAGAAAATGCAGCTGTATGCTTGCTTTGGTAAGATGGCTTTAAGCAGGCACTAGAGCCACTTCAGCATACCATGATGTGTGTTTGCCTGCCTATTTGGAAAGCCTGATCTTGACAAATTTTAGTTCTACTGTGGATGCTTTGATTTATGTCTTTTAAATGTCCTGAATGGGAATCTCAGCTTTGCCACAAGGAAAACAATTGAAATGGAAATGTTTTTCTCCTGGCAGCAGAGCCCATGGTGTTAGCAGGGGTGGGAGGGTGCTCCCCTTTTCTCTCTGTGTCCTGCTCTGCAGTACTACTGTGGATTCACGAAGGCTTTCCCAACAAAGCACTGGAGATTGTTACTCACTTTGCCATTAAAACTTATGCGACCCTGTGTGATGTGGAACCCTGGGACGTGGTTAAACAGGGGTCTTGAAGGTCTGGACCATCCACTCAAGAAGGCAGGAACATTAAATTCTCTCAAGCATGTGTGTGTCAACCTCAGGCATGCTGGTGCTCAGTCCTTGGGGGCTGAGGGTGGTCTTTATATGTGAGACAAGCAGTGGGGAGAGAATTCACACCATGCTGTTCATGAACAGTCCCTTGCTCTCCCTACCACCTCCTTCAGCTGTCTCTCTACAGTTTACTGCAACCCACAGCCAGCCAGCATGGAAGAGGTGATGGCTGCTATACACCTACATTTTATTATGCCACTGAGGCTGATTACATGACCTGTTGTGTTTGTAACTAATCTAGGTTGTAAGCCATCATTATGGATTTCTGCCCACCTGGCACAAAAAAAGTACTTACACTTGACAGTAATTACAGTTAGAAAATTCCAGACAAAGCCAGAAGCACTGCAGAAAGCATTGCTGCCTGACATTTCCTGGTCCACGGGCTCTGCACTCAGCTCTTTGACTGCCAAATACCAACCATGAAGTTAAGTTTTCTGTGATGGGTTTTTACTGATTAGAGTTCTTTGGAAAGATTTAATGTAAAGTCTAACCCTGTGCACTGAATGATAAGGGAATCCCTTGCAAACATTGCACGTGATCCTCTGATTAAAATCTGTCATAGTGTATAAGCATATAAGGCCAGAAGAGTTATCCTGCCTTAGCCTGGGGATCTCCTCTCTTCTGAAAGTTTGACCTTGCAGCCTTAAAAGCTTACTACTGTATTTTTTAATGGAATATAAATAATAATCAAATAGCCATTGCATCAAACTCTTCTGGCAGGGTGAATAAGTGCCCACCTTTAAAACATGTGCATGCTGAGTTGGATGATCTCAATCTGAACACCCAAGTACAAGTATAGAATCATAGAATGTTTTGGGTTGGAAGGGACCCCTAGAGGTCATCTAGTCCAACCCCCCTGCAGGAGCAGGGACACCGCTAACTAGATCAGGTTGCTCAGAGCCCCGTCCGACCTGGCCTTGAATGCTTCCAGGGATGGGGCCTCCACTACCTCTCTGGGCAACCTGTTCCAGTGTTTCACCACCCTCATTGTAAAGAATTTCTTCCTTATATCTAGTCTAAACCTACCCTGGTTTAGTTTAAAACCATTACCCCTTACCATTACAAGTAGAAGAGCACAGCTCTGTCCAACAGTAGCATCCATTTGTCCTTTTCGAATGGATCTTCAGTGAAGGTTATATTCAAAAAGTATGATCAGTAATTAGGAATGTTTCATGCAAGTAAAGAAACAAGAGTGTCATCTGGAGAGATTTCAAAATCCAACTGAACTTAAGGGGAAAAAGAAAGCCAAAGGATAACTAATTTAATTCTGCATTTCATGTCTGTGATGAAAAGAATATACAGCTATATGGGTGATGCAAAGCCAGAACCCATCACAGGAGGGGACATAGATCTTTCACAGTCAGTATGTTTCCAATTCTGCTTGTCCAAGGACCCCAAAATCACAAGACAGACAAGAATATCAGTTATTCTTTCTGTGATTTCTGCTCTGGGGGAAGACACCCCTGTGAAATTTGTTACCAGTCTAATTTACATTTCTTGTAATGGACACCCAGTAATATACTCCTTTGCTGCTGGCTGCTTTGAGCAGGAGACTCCATTTATTTTC